ACACCAAATTCTTCAATCATCAAATGCCACAGATTTCACCAGTATCTTTCGTCTCTGAATTCAGACCTCTTGTTACTCCTTCGATATCCCTTCTCACCCAATATTGTATCACATTTTATCCTTCCACCGAAAATTCCTTAAATGAAATTCCAAAAATTCCTTCCAATATTCAGGTAGCTTAATTGTATAATTACCTTGAATAACAACTAAAGCACTTAGGGACTGCGTAATCCCCGTCACGTTCTTGGGGAATCCCTTAATGATAAAAGAGAAGAGTAGTTCATCTATTATCTGCTGTAAAATAGGCTTGTAAAAATCTTTTGCGAAATTTCTTTATTAACAACTAGCTGCGCTTCACGTTTTCGCTCGCTTTAAATTTTGATTATTTGCCTATTTCGTACGATGGATAAATATTTAACAAACTGATTATTTAAATAACTTCCGACATTTATTTCTATAAGTACCAAGTATTTAAAAATAAAAATCGGATGTTAGGAAATTTCTTCAGTTTAATAGCTTCGTCCTAACAAAGCTTTTTTACGAATACAGTATGTGGGTCATTCAAATAATCGATATTAGTCAAGTCCCAAAAAGATATTGGCTTTTGTGTAAAATTTCTTGTATGTCGTCCCCTGATACCAGTGGGAAATGAACGCTTTCAGCTTGGAGTTTAATTATTTTCATCTTATCGAGTCGTCATCGTGCATATTTTTTTTTTTATTATTTTGTATCATTTGTAACTGCCCAGTACTGTATTTAGCAAGTTTGGTCTAAAATGTTTATTTTCTTGAATATTCTTGCTGATGGCCGTGATTTATTAAGCAAGTTACTGAGTTATTGAAGAAGCATCAGATCTCTCGGCCACTTTCTTTTAATCTCCGTCGATAAGGTAAAAGGGAGGACGAAATTTATTGGATAAGTGGATTTTGAGTTAATGATTTATGTAATTGTCATGGATGTAAGATTTTACTGCAGAAATTTTTAAGTCGTTGTGTATAGTGTGATTTGAAATATACTATGGCGCGTTAACATATCAAAATTTTGAAATCTTGCTTAAGTGTGTTTGTTTTGCTTAACTCTGAAATTATGCAACCTATATCCAAATTGGTCTTACAATTAGTATAGTTTAGTTAAATTTAAATTATCAAAAATTTATCACCGCAATTATTATCTTACTCTTTTTTACTAATTGATCTGGTAATATGAGTTAAGTTCTGACCACTCAAAGCGTAATAACCGGATCAGGTGTTAACACAAAAAAAAATCTGGTGCGCCCAACACACAACTTTCACTTACCGCATAACTTTGAATAGAAATTATTTTCTGGCCGTGTTGGGCTATTATAATTTTTTTTAATTGCATTTTTAACTTAGCTAAAGCTAAAAAACTTACAGCTAACAAATCATAAGTACTATTAAAATAACAAAAGTCTTATTTATTACATTACCGGTTGATAATGGATTGTACGTTCCGTTGATTATTGATTGCACGATCCGTTGATTATAGATTGTGCGACTATTAGTTATTAAACAGTTATTTTCCATTACAAAGTTTGCTGAAATATAATTAAGAGATTTACATTGTCTGTCATAAACAGGTCAAAAGTTGTCACACTAATTGGAAGTGGATACAGTTGGAATATCACAAGGGGAAAATTAATCAAATTATTCATTAATTTATTTTTCTAAACGGTTACATGATGATTTTTCGGAATAAACCGGCGACAGATAATGAGGTATCTTTAAATATAATATCAGATTTAGAATAATTAAATTACAGTAAATGTATGTAGGATTTCACTTCTTTCACACTCGTACTATTTTTTTTTTTTTTAAATTAATACATTCTGCCACATTAGAGGGCAAACACTAGTACAATAAAATTGCATTTTAAACAATGTCATTACCTTGCTTTGGTGGATTTTAAATCTTTTTTATTTCAAACTTAAAAAAATGTTTAAAAGTTTCCATTTAGAAAGAAAACTTCATTTTCAATTTCATTTCATTGGAAACATGTGATGTACGTTAAATATTACTAGTTTTCAGAAATTATTATTTATATTTTTTTCGTCACTCTCCGTTACTTTCTACAATTTAATTTACTAGATATTATTTTTTCTAAAATTCTCCGCTTTCCTACGATATATTATACGTATACCTTCTGTTATTATTTCCGGAGATTCATTTTCGACCTGGATAAGAATTTTTCTTTTTCTTCTTTATTCAACTATTAAATTCTCTCAAAAGTTATATATAGCCATTTATCATAACTCCGAATAATGAGGGATAGTTAATTATTTCAAATGAACCAAATTAAAGGTACTTTAGAGGAAGACATTTCGAGCATTAGGCATTTAATCCCTGTTAAGCGACATCGATAGGGATAAGATCTAAATTATATTAAAGATTACTTAACTATACATTTACACACCAATTTTAATCAACATTGTTAAAGCTGTTTTTGAGAAAATCATAAAAATGTGTTAAATCGATGAAATAAAGTGCCATTTCTGGTTACCCGATTCTGACAAAAAAATTGCTGAAACGTACCAGGCATATACAAAACTTAAATATGCAATTAAGGTTGCAATTGCAGCTATACTGTTAACACACACACCATTTTGTAGGACTTAGTTATTTGGACGCAGCGGACCTCAAGGGACGTGCGTTTCCGTTGAAAACTGAGGTTCGAAAATGTTCACGATCGCAATACTTCCCTTTACTATGTATTTCATATAAAGGTAAATGAAAGTGAAAAACCCATAATTCTTTTGCCTCTTTATGGATTGATAGAAAATAATTTTTTCCTTCTAGGATAAATATTATATTACTTATATAATTTGGTTACATATTGAACGTTGTGCCCTATTTTCAGGGATATTCTACAATATAATTGAAATAGAAATATCAACTTTATTCTGGGACAACGTTCCTTAAGAATAACAAGATTGTTTATACAAATTAGCATTACATCTGGCCAAAAGATCTAATACGTAAATGAATAACTGAAACACGAGTAACAAAACTGGAGTATACATGGCTTAAAGATATGTTAATGAAAGCAGGTGAGCAACAATCAGAGTATTGCAATATCGCTGTTTAAGAAAAATAAAATAAATAGAAAAGGGGCATTAAATTAATTTTATAAGAAAACCATGGTGGCGACGAAAAGAAAAAAAAACTAAAGAAAAGTAAGTTAAGAATAGAAATTATGTATATATAACATTTCCAAGTCAATTTCAACCTTTTCCAAATCAAATTCAACCTTTTCCAAGTCAAACTAAATCTTTTCCATTTTAAATTCAACCTTTTACAAGTCAAATTCAACCTTTTCCATTTCAAATTCAACTTTCGAATTTTTGTCAATTTTCGATTTTTTTCGAAATGAAGGCCACTTACTATATTATCGAAGGCATAGCTTTTGAAAAATACAAAAAATATTTTGATAACGCGGTTGCATATCCATTTATTTTAAATTATTTCCAAGTCAAATTCAACCTTTTCCAAGTCAAATTCAACCTTTTCCAGATCAAATTAAACTTTTTCTAAGTCAAATTCAACCATTTCCATTTCAAATTAAACCTTTTCCAATTCAAATTCAACCGTTTTCATTTCAAATTAATGTTTTAATTTTTTGTAAATTTTATATATTTTTTTTAAAATAATGGCCATCCCCTCCCCCCCTCCAATATGAGAGTCTATTATTATGCCCTCCTAAGAAGAATTTTCACTTACGGATATCGATTTATTGTACCTATTCGGATTTATTAGGGACTAGTATTATGCTGTCCTGTGCCTAGTTTTGAAAATAACCTCCATTTTAAGATACGTGACTGCGTTTCGAATCATTTAAGTTTTTTTGACTTATTCGATATAAGGGTGTATTTTTATGTTTTCCGATCAGTAAATTTTGAAAATGATATCCATTTTATGTTTACGCCACTGTTTTGACTTGTTTAAGTTTTTAGAATATATCCAATATAAAGGTCTACTTTTATGTTTCCGGAGCCGTAGATTTTGAAAACGACCTCCATTTTAAGATTAGGCCACCGCATTTCGATTTCTTTAAGTGTTTCGATCATCTATTGGGGATTGACCATCATTAATGATTTCAATCAGGATGGATTTTGCGGAGTAATCTGGTCAAAAAAACAGATTGGTAAGGGTCAAGTTGATTGGATAACACTGTTCTTTTCAGGGGTTTTAAGATTGGGCCGAAATCTTTGTACTAAAAATTTATCATTTAAGTAAAATCCATAACAATAAATGATAATTATTATAATTGGAGATATGTATGTAATAATGATAATTACATTGTAGGATATTCCTGAAGATAGGGTAGTGCCCCGAAACGTTGAATGTGTAACCAAATTATATAAAATAAATGAATTCTATTGCCTGCTTCTTTTGATCTATTTCCCTCCCAGTTGATGAAAAATTCCCTCAAATCTTTGATGAGTTTTAAATGTTTTATTTTTCGTGGTTAGCAAACTAGAGGAGGTTTATTTCAAATTGAGGACAATCTGATTTACACCTACCTCTAGATTTAATTTTCTCCAGTTGTTAGTCTCTGGAGATATAAATTATTTTTCCAAGAAGGTATGTTTGATTCATGTTGATTTTTATCGAACGAATACGTATTTTGTCAGAGGCCAGTCTTTCAGTTATATAATATTTCCGATTAATATATAACTATATCTATACACTATGAAATTATTTGTATAGTGTACATGTTAATATATAGCATACATATACTAATAATACATAGATGTACATAAATATACATATTTTCAAGTTCATAAGGTAAATTTTACTCATTGAAATAATACATATTGTTAGTAAATGCACTTTTATGTAGCGTTGAGTAGTTTCTCTAAAATAATTACAGTTATGTAACTCAATCTCGCGGTTTTGCTCCTAGAGATTGCTATTATGAAAGAAGATTTATTCTGGACTTTCACATCTTTTGCTATTTTTTTTCTCTTTAATCATGTTTTACGTATGGTGCTCAATCCTAGATTCACATGCAACAATGGGGTACGCAATGGGCCCACTCATCCGGCCAGTAAGTTTATAAAGTTTAATTTTTTTAAATAAAAAATAGTGTTAAATTACAAGTCATGTCAGCGGAATGAAAGAATGTTTGAGTTGAAATAGTTTTAGCTTTGCGTATTGGCTTCAGATAAGAAATCATTCTCGTACTACAACTATTCTATTATTAATAATAGTTACTGTTTTCATCGAACAGAAATTTTTGAGGTTGTCATTTACATATTAAAAGAAAATCTATAAAATATGTTATGTGATAAAAAAAAATGGTGAAATCCAGTGAAAATTTTTAAAAGTCGATATTTAAAAACGAATCAAGAAAAAAATAATTTTTATAATTGATATAAATGATATTCAGAAAATCATATTAATCGGAGATGATAAGCTCAAGGCATCCGATGGTTTCATTAATTAAAAATTTCTCTTTCTCTCTCTATATATATAAATATATATTTTAGGGGCTGTGGTAGCCGTTTAAACAACGCCGAGCGTGGCTAGGATGGGTGACCGTCCACCAGGGAAAGCCACGCTGCCCGAGATCTATTTATATATTTATATATTTGATGAATGAGGTATCAAACGAAAAGGAACTTTATGAAGCATTACGAATTATCGTCCCCATTCTCCCGAAATTTAACGAAAAAATGTATGAAGGTATATAAACTTCATTTGCGAATAACTCAAAAGATATACAATTTATTTTGAATTATACCCATGATTATTTGAATGTTTCCTAAATTCCATACAAAAAAAAAAAAAAAAAAAATTATCGAAATCGGACCATTATTAAGAAAGTTACAGTCTATAGTAATGTTAGGTTTTTCCTATATGCAAAAATTACAGAAATATCTCTATAGTAATAAGCTAATAGCTATAATAAGCTAACTGTAAGACTGTCGCGAGATTCTTGCGCAGACCAAGACTGAATCCGCAAGATCAAGACTTGTTTCGTATTTTGGCAACTATAACTATAAATAACTATAAAAAGGCTTAGCGAACCCGAAGGTTCGATGCCGACACCACCAATCGCTTATTACACACCTCCCTCCACCGTTCCCCGTCCAAACCCAGTCCCTTCAGATCAGCTTTAATGCAATCTTCCCACCTTCGCTTCGGTCTACCCCCCGGACGCTTACCATTCGGCACAGCATATATTAACCTTTTAGGAATTCTCTCGTTACTAAGTCCAACAACTTTACAAGCCCATTTGATTCGCCGCGATGAAATTATCTTAATTATATTACTCGGATACAGTTCACCCAATTCGGCGTTGTGTAACCGTCTGAACTCTTCGGTTAACTCATCCTTCTTCGGTCCGAATATTCTACGCAATACTTTATTTTCAAAAACCTCAAGACGCTGCTCATCCCTTAATGTAAGCGGCCAAGTTTCGCACCCATAAAGAACTGTAGGCAAGATAATTGTTTTATAGATTCTAATTTTTAAGTTTCGGGACAAAAGGCGCGAACTAAGTAGTTTTGTCACAGAAAAATAACAAGCATTTCCCGCCTTCAGTCTAACCTTAATCTCCTCTTCAATTTCGTTCTTTCTAGTTATCGTAGAACCTAGATACCTAAACTTATCTACCTGCTCAAACATATTACCATCTATATCGATATCACCAGTAGTATCGCCATTTTTGCAGCTAACCATATATTTATTGCAGCTAACCATATTCGTATTTTGGCAACACTACCAAAATTGGTTCGACGTCAATGTCAACTTCAACTTCTTCATCGTTCATCTTTGAGGTACACTTTAGATGAAACAAAAACGAAAACTAACATAAATTTCACATTAGATGATTCTTCCAAAATATAAACGGGGTTGATTAACTGATTGCTGATGGCTAGTACTTCCGGATGTCGCCCTGGTTTTGCATTTAATAAAGTACCAGCGGATCGAGGGTGAGAAAACATTTTATCTTAAAAAACGTAACTACACTCTCAGCGCACTTACTATTATTAATGTAATTGATTGCAACAGGTGACAAAAGTTTACCATTGTCAGTCACTATGCTATCTAAACAGTACTTTAATTAGTCGAATTAAGTTTCATAAAACCTACAATCTTCCACAAAATAAACACCTACTCCTCAACAATCGTTCTATACCAATGGACACTTTTGGACTGTAGTCTTATAGCTTAATGTGTTACCTATTTATTTGATGTTTTAAATTTTCAAGAGATATATTGACGATCCATTATGTATAATAACTGTGTATGTATATGTGTATATATAAACCTGTACCACTACAACCCATGAAGGGTCTTGGGTTCGGTACTATTTAGGAAGAACACTGTTTTAAGGTCAACGGTTGTACAAGGAGGTGATTTGACGGAGATTACGCTCAACCGCCAGGTCTTTCCCCTTAATTAATTATTTAATTAAGGGAACCCACTTTATAGAGGCTGGGTATATGGCTCTCGACCCAGGGTCATCCCAAGGTTAATGAAACAGATAAATAAATTTTCTGCCATAAGCCGGGATTCGAACCTGGGACCTTTAGCATTTGAAGCTCAGTACCCTACAACTGAGCTACCTCACTCCCCACACAATAATACACAAAATAACAACAAAAAAATGTATATATATATATATTTTTTTTTTTGTTATTTTTCGGTTGGCGCTACAGACCTTGTAGATGTTTGTCCGCGAGATGTGGTCTTCTAGCCATAGTACATGGGAGTAGGGTCATCAGTCCTACGCCCGATCGGTGTGAGTTGCCTCCAATAGGCTAACGGGTCTCACGAACCGGGGGGAGGGCGATTTCGGGTAGCGTGGTTCTTTTTGGACGGTCACTCAAATCGGACGGTCACCCATCCAAGTACTAAGCACGCTTAACTGTGGTTACCTGTTGCAAGTGCCTTAGCCCGCATGGCTATCCCTTCCCCCTATATATATATACATATATATATATATATATATATATATATATATATATATATATGTATATGTATATATTTTTATATATTTATAGACACATATACATTTTTATATATAACTTACGACTTTACAGTATGGAATTCGCCTGGTTCATATGTACCTCAGAAAAGGTCTGTATCCACCACAAATAGTCTCAAATATTTACGCGCTAATACATATTTAGATTCATTCAGAAAACTCATTCAGAGTTCCTTCTTCATTATTATTAAACAATTAAAACGCTTTTCTCCGCCCAATTCATTCGATTCCCGGATATAAAGGCCTGCTGACAAGATACTGCTAAAGGTGTTGGCAAGTTAAATACTCGAAACTGGTGGCAGCAACTGATATGTGACCTTAGATAACATCCTTTATACAGGGAAAGGTTTCATTCATATACTCGATTCATACAAAAGTATATGCTTACATTCTGCTTCAATCGATTTATATTTTACTTATTTCGATATTTAGGTTTTTCTTAAGTCATTCTCTTAGACCAATCTCATAATGAAATAACTGTCATTTGTTATGATTGTGAAATAAAGAGAGTGGTATATTGTTCATCAAAATTATTAATGACGTCTAACGCATGTCAAAACTGGGGGACTTTCCCTTTCGAACCTTGACGAATCCACCTTCGCAGCCTACGTGACTCCCAGGTCGTACTCGGAAGGGCTGACAAGGGTTGCCAACGGACAGCCGTGATACCCGTCACGACAGACCTGCCCACTTACCTTGCCATTCTGAGTAGCTAATGGCCTAGATCCATCGGATGAATATCATAGTTAATTCGCCTAATCATTCTATCCAAAGAATATTCCATCTTTCTTTAAAAATTACGAATAAATTGGGAATTTAGCTCCAAATAGGAATAGAAAAATTAAATTTTGGTAAACTATAAAAGGTTGTCTGAAAAATGGTTTAGTTTTGTAAGTGTATTACCACATACTATATAAATTATATTTGCGTCTTATATAAATTTAAAGATATATATTTTATGACTTAACCTTTATAATATATATATATATATATATATATATATATATATATATATGTATATATTTATTTATTTATTTTGAATATTATTATTTTGCTGTTGTTTTATTTCATTTATTTTTATTTATTGTAAATATATATATATATATATATATATATATATATATATGCCATTTAAACAAAAAATAAAAGATTAAATTATTCTTAACCTCAAGGGAGAAAAGATGTTTTTTATGTATGGTTTTTCTTTTGCATAGAAAACTCGCAATATGAATAGGAACAAATCGCAATCTAATTGCTTAATATTTTTTTCAGATATATAAGTTAATTCTTTGGTGAAGTTTAGGTTATTCCGGAAGTTTAGAACATTTTTATTTGTTTTTAATAGACTTTAACTTGAAAGAAGGTTTTGGTACAAAAGAGTAATACGAAACATGACACCTGATACAAAAAAAAGATGTTACGTAAGTTTTGAAATCATTCAAAACTACAGTAAGTAAAAGTTACCTCCAGTTTTGATTTAGCATCTCATTTTGGTTTATTGCTTATATAACCAAAAAAGTAACTTAAAACCCAATTCAAAAATAACCACTGCCTTATGTAACCGCGCAAAAATTCATAGACATGAAATAGATTTTGATAATATTAAAATACTCCACAAATCTAACTCCCGATCAAAACTCAAAACTTTAGAATCTATATATATCGCAATAAACCAAAATTAGGTGATAAATTAAAAGCAGAAAGCGGCTCATATGTCACAACATTACTCGCAAATAATAGCAAACCATAAAAATATTTTTTTTTAAATTATGGGAGAAAAAAATGGTGTTAATTTTAATTGCTAGATTGGTGTGCAATATAGATGGTGCTGACAGTAATGGTTCAGCATTCAGTGAAATTGTGTCAGACAGTGAGGAGCCCTTTTCTCTAAACAAGTCGGTAAATAAAATTTATTTCCTTTCAATTTACTTAATTAACAACTAATTTTAATACAAAAAAATGTTTAGACAAAGTATGAGACGCAGAACAAACTCTGTTCCAATCTACTATTTTAATACGGTTTTAAATAATTTAATAAGAAAATAAGGTACGTCTATTGTTGCCCAAATGCGAGACCGAAATGAGTCTTGATCTTGCAAACTCAGTCTTGGTCATGGTCTTGGTCTTGCTCAAGAATCACACAACAGTCCTACAGTTACTTATCAGCTTACTATAGAGATATTACTGTAATTTTTTAGATAGGAGAAACCTAACTTAGCCCAAATGAAAAATTAGAGGAGATAAAGGCAAAAGTATATTGGTTATACCAATTTTAGCGTATAGTAACTGAGATTGCCAAGTTATAGTAACTATTTTGCCTAAATTTTTATTTAAAAAATCGATATTTTTACCAGTCCTGGTCTTGGTCTTGCAACAGTTAGCCCGCCTTGGTCTTGGTCTTGCGTTGTGAGAGTCAATGTAATTGCATGACAAATATATTTTTTTTTTTAAATTGTACCATCATGTACTGTTAATTGTTAAAATTATTATTGATTGAAATGTGTTATGTTATAGAGGTGAATATGGTGCAGGACGGCGAAATCTTCTCTAGAAATTAGGTTAATTTTTAAATAAAAATAGAAAATATAATAGACTATAAAACAAATATCCTGATCTACCGTTTAATAATATTTAATTATTATTGCATAATTTTGTAATTATTCTAGCTAAGCTTAAGTTTTGACTGATATGTTTGACGCCGTCCTTAAGGGGCAACGTCCCCGAGGCGCCGACTTGGATGGGAGCTCGTTGGGGGTGCCAATCTATATTTAAGGGCGCTAGCCACTTGAAAGAAATGAATGAAAAAAAAGTATGAAAATATTTAATTTTAGCCTACTAATTAAGCAACTGTATTAGAGAAATGTTTAATGCAATAAAATTCAAATATTACATAATATTAGACAGGTTAAGAAATCAATTTAATATTTTTAGGGGTAGCGGAGATGATGTCATTGCCCGGGAGCACCAAATGTCTAAGGCCGGCTCTGGATGCATCCAACAATCAGGAGACGCGAACATTTATTATTTTATTAATTATTATTCTTGTATAAAGTTTTATTAAAACCATTTTGAGCTTAAAATATAGAACTGTATGGTTCTGATAAAAACGCCATCAGTAAAAAAAAAAAAAAATAGAATAAAAAACATCAGTCTTGTTCGGCCGAAAGTGTTAGAGGATATTTTTTTTTTTTTTTTATTTGTAGGGCCAAGATTTTCATTGTAGTCCTATACTGATTGGAAGATAGTCGATCCATAGTTCTACCTCATAAATGAAATAATACTTAAGGAATTAAACTTAACAACAATTTTAGGCACTCTTAAAGGAAATTACAATAACTTTAACCACAAATTGACTAACAAGATTTAATCTACTGGCAGTAATTTAAAAAAAAAAAATTATACTTTTTTTCAATAAATAAATAAAATATTTTATTTATTTGTTTTTTATTCAAATACATTTCCAAGACGAATAAAACTATTACCAGACAATCTCTACTTGTAATATCTTTCAAACTTTATTGAGTACCATTTTTAAGAAACCTTGGGAAATTATATTCATAATTCATAAGTATGTAAAATAAACAATGTATATTTGGAAGGATTTTCAAGGTTTAACAAAATATATTTATATACACAAATATAAGTTACTACTTGTTAATGTAGATATTATAAAATCAAACATTTACTTTGCGATTTGAGAAAAATACCCTTGAACTTGAAAATTAATCCAGGAAGGATGAAGACTTATCAACAGTGTTCTGTTTACTGCCTCGTTCGAAGGTCGATTCTAATGCCTGCTCGTTACTAGTGAACGAGTGGTTCCCGAACGCCGCAACCAGTTCTCGTATTACGAGGAAGTCTCGCACTAAGGTCGCTACCAAATGGCCAGTCTTTATTTTTTCTTATCTCCAGTTAGCTTTCCGTCTAAACCAGAAGCTAAGAGAGAAACTTCCACAGCGGTTGATTTATTGTAAACACAATTCCATGCATTTCCTATTTCTTTACCCTTTAACATAATTTAATTTAATGAAAATTGTTCTATTACTTTAATATTACTATTTATATTATTTTATGTTATAATGTCTACTACTACATAAGATTAACTCAATTTATCCTTGCTTATAATACTTCCCTGTTGCATCCTTATTTAGGATAACAAGGAGTGGATGGGTGAATGTATGAGGGTCAAGTAACAAGCTGGGGTAAGGTGCTTAATGGAATAATCTGCTATAGGTTTTTTCCAGGCGAGGTCACAATCAGGTTGATAGAGATCTAAAGAGGTCTGTAGGTCATCAGGGGTGTGGACAGCACAGCGTGTCCAGCAAAGGGCTTTTAATTCTGGCAATTATCCCCCGCCCTCACCTCAAGCTCGGTAAAACTCCCGAATAGACTAAAAGGCGAGTTAGGGGGTAATTTTTTTCTGAATTTGGTTTGGCTATAAATCTTCATAAAAGCGAGGTCATCGATCTAAAGGAAGGAGGGCTAAAAACAGCGATGACGTAAAAATGAATACTGCCAAACATTGAAGAATAGAGATATGATAAAGCTTCGAGGATGTACAATTTCAGTAGAGCTACAGTTTAACGATGATTTAGTGAAACAATTTAATGAAAATCTTAACTAGCTGGTAGCCTCTTGCTTACTTACACTGGAGCAAAAGCTAAACATTGTCAACCAGTATTAGTTAATGAGTCCTACTAACCCTCTCCAAACTGCGCCAAGCTGTTTCACAAAGATGCGTCATGCAATACAAGATGGCATCGACACAATGATTCGCAAGAGTGTATAGGCCATTATTTCACTCCGTGCGAACTTCCTCCTCCCTCCCACGTCGATGTTTTACGCTCCCAAGAGGTACCAAACAATAGCATTAATCCGCTACCAATAGGAGAACCCTCTATAACAACTGCTAAGCGACTGTCCAATGTTTAAGATGTCCTTTTCAAATCCACGTTCTTTGTTATTTGGCTGAAGTTAATGAGTGTGCCGGGGGATCGGGGATTGATCAGGAACATTGAAATATGAAAGCTCTACTTGAAAGCTTCGGTTGAGGGTTGCGTTTTAGAGAGACCCCAAAAACGAATAAATATATCTATGAAAAACAAATACTTTCGGGTTCTGAATGTTGTATTGCTCGGAACTAAATATCAGTTATGCACCCTTGTGTAAGGTCCCAGGTTTCAGTGGACAAGTCAGATAGGTTGGGTCCTTCTGTCGCAAATTCAACAGAGAGCCTGAAACACGAGCACACGTGCTTGGAATGCACCAACAACTTCTTCCTTATAACACGCCGTCACCACTGGGTAAAGCACGAATTGATGAGGTTCCTTAGAGAGAGATATTTTGCCTGCTTTGATGAAGTCTTTTACATAGACATGGACCGAGCCAGGCGATATTGTAGTCTTTTTGAACAGACTGGACATTTAACGATTATTCCGTATTACACCGCAAGGTACGAAATCAATGACCTGGATCAGACATGATTTGGTGAATGTATAGAATATAAAATTATTGCAAAAATTACTATACAATGAAAACAAAATTATCTTATAAAGTAGGTAAAAAAATCCATATTCAAACTCTAACTCCATGTTTAGATTTAGCTCCTCAAAGTATTCTTATAAAAAAAAAAATCTCAAGCAAAAAATGTTGGAATCTTTCCTTTGTTAAATATTTTTGCACGGTTTTCTAGATTTCAAGGTAATCAAAATGTTTTTAAAAACTTGATTTATGATTAATAGACACAAAAAATAAAGTTGTTATGATTATTTTTGATTTGTAAACTAGATATTAATTCTATTTAGTTATCTCTAATAGATAACATGTAGGAAATAACTTTTACATAGTTTTAACTTTATTAAGACCCCTCGCTATATCTAACATCTTCCTATGACAAGTGCACAGCCTGCATCACATCACTGTTTTGAATAAACCACATCCTGTTTTGATGGATGACAACCTGTCAGCGCCATTAACTCTGGAAAAGCGAACCACCTGGTGTATGAGTACTCAATGCTCACATCGCCCATCGTATTCATCTACAAGTATTCTTTTTATCAGTGTAGGAGTATAGTCGAATGAAGACTATATATTTTTATCTAAAAATATGTTTGCGAGAAAATATTTGGTATTTTTCTCTCGCTTTCTATTATTTATATTTTATGCAATTTGCACCTGCGCGGCTGCGCATTTAGCAAATTTGTTGTGTTGGTATTGTCATTGTGTATTTCCTTGATATGGTTTTTATTGGTATAGTAGGTCTCTTGGCCATTTTCTTTTTAATCTGCGTTGTTCAGGTAATAGGGAACAGGAGATAGAAAGAACCAGTGGTATCGAGTGATTTTGGGTTGAAGAATGTAGTGTATTTGTTGTGGATGTAGGATTTTACTGTTGGGGTGTTTAAGTCATTATGTATAGTAGTATTTGAAATGTACCAAGGTGCGTTCTCTCGCTTCGTTACTCAGTTTAAAAATATTACACTATCTTGAATGCAATAGGAATTCTAATCATGATAATGACCCCGAAATCAAAAACGTAGTACTGGTAACGAAAAGCTGATTCTATGGGTTATGGCGTCTACTGAGATGCAACATCCTTTCCAAAAAAAACTTAACTTTTGCTTTACAAAAATCTCATTAGACCTAATCTCTGCTATGGCTCTGAACATCAGAAACATGAACATTGAGTGAGAAGAATGAATTAAGTTTATTAATACGTGAATGAAACATTTTGGCGGCACCTGAAGGAGGAGAAAAAAATCAGCAAATTTATTGTTTGTTCGAGGATTTTGCAATGTACTTACATACAAACCTACACATATGGGCGAAGCACGTGTCAAGAGCGTCTGACCAAAAAAAGTCCTATCGGACAGATACCATGGAACCAAGGATCTGGAACACTTCTAATGGAATCTCGATGGGTAATATAACTCTGGAGAACTACGATGTGAAAATAGAACGTTCCATAATACCATCATAATTTTGGGTTTGCAGACCTGGAAGGCGGTAACACACAAAAGATACGAATTGGGGAGGCTAATTTTGGAGGCCATGACTCACTAGTAGGTTGTAGTGCCCAGAAAGAAGAAGAAAAAGACTTATAACCCATGCAAATCTTCAATTTTTGCGTCCACTGGGTACCAAAGTTTTTAATATATTAACTTATAAGTCAATTACACCTGCAGAATTTGAATTCATCACTTCTTCATGAAATCCAGTCACACGTCGTTTATGAAATTCCAGAAAGGTAGAAGAGATAACTATATTGCATATAGCAGATTTTAGACAAAAGTTAATCATAGCATTAACACTCGTACTGTTAAAATATTGAAAATCATATATACTTTTATAACCAAGACATCGGAAGCAACAGGACACAGCACACCATCCATGGTGCCACTATCCACTATCCATTAAATTATACTAAACCATTATTATGCTCACTCAAGACCCGTAGACCAAGGCGTAGACTACGAGAGGGTGTTGAGGGCAACCGAGGGGGTGCCATCGTCCCCCAATAAAAATGTTGAGGAGACGAGAATATCGTTTCGTCCCTCCTCTCCCTCAATAATTTGAGGTAAAACGAGATTAAAATCAATAATAAATAAGCTACATGAATGAATAAATTGTGTAAACTAAAACCGATTAAGGAAAGTCGACTAGGCTGGCTTGGCTAGGGCATATTAAGTATGTAACTATTTTATTTATACCTAAATGTTACTTTTATTTAAACTGTCATTTATATTCAAAGATATTAATATATATATCAACATATCCTAGCATTTTATAATTCAATCACCCCTAAATTTTCATCTGATATTCTTATCACATTTTTCGCTGCAATCAAGTTCGACTGTGAAAAATATTGTATTTTTATTTGAGGTTGTAAACAAACACTAAGAAATCAAAGATGTTTTTCACTTGACTACGTGAAGCAAAACAAGCGTTATGTCTTATGTCGTCCACTATAAGCTATGTAACGGTTTTTGAAGCGAACGGCTGGATCGATTCTTAAGTTTTATGGCTCACATTATTAGGTGAGATTCGCTGTG